TATATATATATATATATATATATATATATAATTATATTTAGATTTATTTTTATACGGTTTGTTCTACAGCGAATCACATATTTTTCCAGTCGATTTCTCAGTTTCTTTTTGAACACCGGTACTTGTAGGCATCGAGCTGAAATTAGAAGGGAAGAAAGTTCACGTTAAGGAATGCGCTACCGGTAAGATTAGGCTGCGCTAAAGTTTGACAGAAAGTTGCATTTCTCGCTTGAAATAGGGATTTTTGGAAGTTGTATTTTTGTTTACTTTGTGCGGATGATTTTACTCTACTTTGAATGGTACTTTTCCGGAGGTTTAGAAAAGGTGGTTTACCTACTGTAAGGAAGAGCATAAGCAGTTGCAAGAAAGGAAATTGCTCTGAGACGTCTAAACGTGCAAATTTTAACCTTTATGGGGAAGGGGAGCAAGCGTTTTGAAAGTATTTCTTTTAAATGAGACGTGAAAAGAGCAGGTAGGTTTTTTAACTAGCTTTGGGGCTCTAATAAGAGAACCAGGATGGGATTACCGATTTTCAAATGCTTGTAGTGGAACAATTTTTAGGGTTTTTGTTTAATGCCTGTCTATCGTAGTTTTATATGAAAACTGAAGAGTTTCACGTACTAGCAAATTATGCAAAAGTTACAGTAAGAGAATATTTCAAAATGCGTCTGAGGTGCAGGTTTTCAAATGTTTTTTGAAAACGTTTTTTATACGCTTTTGTGTCATATCAGAAAGTAAATTTGGTTCTTAGTGAGTCCAGATACTATAGGAATAAAGCAGGGTATTAAGTTCTTAATTGTCTTTAGTATGTGTCAAGGTTTTCTGTAGTAGAGTAGGGTTTTTCTCGTCCTATATTTTGCAAGCTAATAGGAAGGAAGTCACGTATTTTTTGGAACAGTCGAGGAGGACTGCAAGCTTTGGAGGTTTCTTTCAATTCTTTCTTTTTTCAAAATGCTTTTTTGAAGTTTTGATATCTATTTGAGGAAGTACACCTTCAAGGTACTTTTCTTGAAGGGGTTTGGGGGGCCTCATCTTTGAACTTATTTTGAAGTTTTTCTGTCGATGCGCTTTGTGTAAAT